TCAGTTGATCCCTGCTGGGAAAGGAGGTCTGAAAGGTCCAGTTTGCAGGATGACTTCCTGACGAGAGGCAAAGACAAAAAACAAAGTTAAAACTCAGGGAGACAAGAACTCAGTCTTACTCAGAGAAAACTCAGCTTGGCCAGAGTACTAAAAACTGGAAAACACTGTGGCATCGAGGTAGTGGCAATCAGCAGCTTAAGAGCACTGCGTTAATGAGGTAACCATCAGCAGGTGTGTGAGGAGGCGAACCGAAACCAGGCGCCTCCTTTTGGTGGAAGGGAGACAAACACAAAAACTAAACAAACACACAAACAGGAGCCCTGACACTAACGTTTCCTGCTGTACGTGCATTGTTGGCATGTTGGGATGTTTCCAATTCTGGCAGTTTAGGATAAACGTCTATGGGTAAAAAAAAATTTTCTTTAGATTTATGGCCTAAGATCAATAGACTTTGGTTCAAATTGGGCAAGATTTTGTATATCCAGGTGGTTTATGAAAATTTTTGGGGCTCGAAAATGTGAGTCAGTGACATCTGGCAGCCCTGCTGATGTGGTTAGTGACGACGTTACACAGCAGCAGTCACTGTCGTGTCCGTGTTAGTAACCAAAGCCAGTAAAACCTCATTATAGAAGCCTTGGTTGTCGAGTGTTGCTTGAAGATAGATGGGTTAATCCACAATGTGCATTCGTTTTGTGTTTCAAATTTGAGATGCACGCATTTGACTGTGCTTCTATTATCATTTTTTTTTCTCGGGGTGGGGGGTCGATGGGCCGATGTAGATGGAAAAATGCCATTGCCAAAAATCGTTCCCAGTCCAAGCCTTATGCTATAGATCCTGGTTGTGTGCATCAGTTACTGTCTCATCTGATTTTAGAATATTTTTTCGATGACTCAAAAAGTCAGATTCCTTTTGAGTACTCTCTGGGAGACATGAAGTAGCATATTGCCATTTCCACTGCTAAATAATCTGCATTTGTGTTTTATAATTTTGACAGGTTTTGTTGCTTATCTATATCTTTCTGCTTCTCTGCAGGTATTAGTATGGCACACACGGACTGAGAAGCCTACACTGGTACGTGAGGGCAAGAAAGGATTTACAGACTCAAATGTGGAAATATGATTTCATACATGGGCGGTTCTAGACGGGCAAACGGCGGCCAGTGCCCCTGTAGATCATGGCCTGTTATGGCCCTTGTACTGAAGACATAATTCATAAAAAGAAATTCCAATGATGATATGTGCTGGAAAGACATGGTTACTGATAGGTCCTTTGGATCTATTTAGTTTTTTTTTCACAAATTCTGTTATACTAATTATTTAAACACAATAAGGAGATAGCTTCAGTGGTATTGAGATAGGATCCCAGTTTTCATCTGCAAAATGTTTTTTTTTCAAAACACATTTTTAAAAAATAATCAAATTTCTAAAGCTGAATTTATCAGTTTTTCTTGAGTTCTAATTCTGATTTTGTGGAAAATAGTTATTTTAACTTAAATGAAATGAGAAATATGTAAAATTACTATATTATGAATGTAGACATATAATTTTAATATAACCTAATTGAATGGAAATTTCACTTCAGGCAGCCCTCTTATACAGTAGGGGAAATAAGCATTTGACCCCTTGCTGATTTTGCAGGTTTGCCCACTTACAAATAATGCAAAGATCTATAATTTTAATCATATGTACATTCTAACAGTGAGAGACAGAAACCCAAAGAAAATTCCAGAAAATCACATCATATGAATTTATTAAAACTGATAACCATCTGATGAGGTAAAACAAGTATTTGACCCCCTGGACAAACAGCATATTAATATTTTGTAGAAAAGCCATTATTGGCCAGCACAGATGTCAAACAGTTTTTGTAGTTGGTGACAAGGGTTGTGCACATTTCGGCAGGGATGTTGGCCCACTCCTCCCTGCAGACAGCCTCCAAATCATTCAGGTTCC